TATATATAAATATTATTTATTTACATCATTATATTTTTATATCATCATATTATTGCAATAATAATAATAATAATAATATGATTAGTATATATAAGTATATATATATATATATATGCGTATATCGATATGTGAACCTATTGAGATACGTGTATATTCATTGGATATGTTGCACGTTTGATAAACAATTTCTTTGGATTTGATTGCCAAATTTTTATAGCCCTACTTAAAAACTTGATGTTGTTTTTAGGTTAAATAATTGATACACACTGGTCACACAGCACATATACTATCGCAGCCGGGGCTTCTGCAACCGCCACGACCGCGACGACGGTCGCAATACAATTAACACTACACGCATAGGCAACGGGGAGAAACTCAGAGTGGTTCTGGGGGCAAAAGTAGTACAAATTCGGCCAGCTGGTGGGGCGTTGGACGGCACCTATAATCCACCCTTTCGAGAAGAGAAGAGGAGGAAAAAGGCTGCAGATGGCCCGAAGATTATGAGTGATGCGGAGCGGACGGACAAGTCAGCCGAATGCGTCAAACAAGGATTTAACAGTATGCAGACATTCATTTTTGCCAGCTGGTGATTGTGTACATTGAAATCAGTCCCATAGTTCTGTTCAGCATGGTCGAGCATTGCTCGCTGTTAGTTGCTAGCTGTGCTACTATCAAACCGGCTCACTATGTTAGTAGGACTACTTGAATTGCATAGAGTATTTCTTTCTGGTTCAACTGTCATTGCGCATATATGAACTGCTGTCTCCTATTGTGTCCATTGGGCCCCATCGCCCGCAAACGCACTTGCTACCTTGTGTGATCTGCGTACAACATCAACACCATGTTTGCGAGTATTCAATATATCATATAAGTTAAAAGTCATTATTTAGCAGTATATACAGCCAGCGGCGTACGCTGACAAGGCGACTCACTACACAGTTCCTGTTGCGGCATATCAGGCTCTGATTAGTCACATATTCCTTGTCCAGTGGAAAACAACAACACACAGATGCTACTTGTATGACAGCAGCACTTTGGCGTTCAGCAAAATTCGTTTTAGAACAGATTGTCTGAAGCGTTTAGTACGGATTTCAGTTTTATCGTCAGTATCGCAGGCAGTTGTTTGTAAAGCATTTTGCGAACGTCTATACAATACGTGGATGTGATCGAACTCATCAGCACTGTTGTGC